GACAGTCTACACGAGTCGCTCTACATACGAGGTCGGATGAACCAAAACTTGATCAGATTTCATCCGCACCCCACCCGTCTCCCGCGCGCTTTACAATGACATGTTTAATCATATCAGAGCGGAGTGGGGGGTGGGGGTGGGGTGGGGGGATGGATTACGATGAACACACATTTTCAACTTGTCCTTGTGTCATTCAACTGACTCTTTCCCAAGAACCAAGAAAACTTGTAAAATACGTGTCACATCATGCCGTGTAGAAAACGCGAAATGCTGTAGAGACCATTCTGTCATTTTCCAATTACCTCAGCTAGGTTTGTACAAAGAAACTTATGTAGTGGAAATGTTTGTGTGACAGCTATTTCGTCCTGTTCGGGACTCGTCAGGAGTGCGTACTTTTGTGTCCCTGTCAGGACTGGAACCGCGATCAGTCGGGTCGGGATTTCAAACCCCTGACCTCCCAAGAATTGAAACCCACACCCAAAAGCCATCACTAGTGCCTGGTGCCTCTGAACAATCGAATGGGCTAATCCAAGCTTGATACTCCAAACTTATGTAGTGTTTTTAGCAATGTAGACGGACTTTGAGTATTAAGTACAAACAAATAGAATGCATCATTTGTAGTTGAACGCGTTCGACGTGTTCCGGCGAAATAGTAACATGGTCAAATAAGGTTAAATGATGAGAGAGAGAAAAACTATTTTATTAACAAATACGGTACCTTTGATTCTTTGCCGTCAAAAACTGTCTTCAGTTTTCTGCGCTCATCGATGATGAGCGTCTTTAGATTCGCAACAATGTGAAAATCTCGTAGTGCCATACAAATCCACCTGCTCAAGATTCTCAAAGTTCTCTTAGATATGATTTGGCCAGTTGTCGTGTTCGGCTGTTACGCAACAGTGACCAAAGTATTTGCAAGTTAAGAGATAAAATGGAAAATGGATTTCAAGACGCTTCATTTCTGACCGGATATCAGCCAGGTTTGCGAGATCAGACAACCTACTATCTAAAATTACAGATCGACCGGAACGATTGAAGATAAGAGAAACCTTCGTTTCCTTCTTGTTGTCTTGTTGATGTTATACCAACCTATCCGGATAATCCACATTGAACTCTTTCATCACCAAAAATCACATTCTGTATAATTCCTCACAGCACATAATTTGGTTCCTCCGACTATTGCACATTCTTACCTCGAGTTAGCCGTATCACTTTCTCCATTCTCTTACATACACACAGAGCGGAGCAGGGAAAAGTTCACGGTTCGTAACCACTTCCCAATACCAGTAGACCATTTATTCGATGTGTCAATTTTAGCATAGTGTGAATCAAAAATATCTAAGAACTGACTGACTGATTGTTTATTCTGTTAGTGTTCTAAAGTTTTCTCTACTATTTTTTCAGACCTGTCTCAACATCGAATGAATTTAAGTACGTTGTATGCGGTATGATGGGAATTTTAAGGAAGATATTAGTAGTAAGGCGCTTCAGGTCGTTATGGTCGTCTGGATTTGGATCCTAGTGTCTGAATTTAAAAGTCTTTCACGTTCGCCCAACCGCGTTGGTAGGCAGTTCTATTGTCGTCCGGCTTAATACCATATCTACCCAACCAAGGTCTCATGTGGTACACCACTCAGAGTTTCAGGGTTTGGGTTGCCGATTATCATGAACACAGTGGATTCATGCGATTGCCCTGTTTACCAGTTCCATAATTCATCAAATGTCACGTATAAAAGTTGAATCGGAACCTGAAAGAAAAAATGGAAGCTCAAATTGTGTTACAAAATCAACTGGTAAAGCTGATAATAACGGGGACCTAGCACTTGTATTTGATTCATGACTGGTAAGTTAATCATGTAAACTGTGTGCATTGAACAAATTAATTGCATCCATATGGTGAAGTTCGACGAGTACAGAACGAATGAATCGGAAACAGAGAAGATAGGAAGCACTGTACACCTATTTCGATCAGGCCGGGTTTCATTAACAGTGCAAGCTAGTCGACCCGATCGGGGTTTCGGACCGTGGATCCCACAGGTGGAAGGAAAGCACGCTACACACTTGGCAACCGGGAAACTTGGCAGACATGATTCTATTTTGCTCCTGTACGCACTATATGGTAGTAAAATCCATCTTGGCCAGTTTATTGCAGCCTAATACACCTTGCGCACCTCAGCACTCTGGCCTCCAACGTTATGACTCGGCTAGAGAATTTTTCCAATCAGATGGTCGTAAATTAGTATGTGTTCTCCAATCGGGATGAGCAAAAGGCTAATCCACATACCCTCAAATGAATATTTTTTTAATGTGACCAGATTTTAGGAAAGATGATGAAGGTTCAGATGCATAATGAAACTCGATTTTCGGTTCGCGACAATCAACGAGAAAGTGTATGCAACAAAATGGGGATTCTACATGTGATTGGGGAATTAATGATCCTAGCCATATTCGGCCCAATAAAATGGAATCGAGATCAACCGAAAAATATCATTTCCGGTTGGCCACAGTGGACAGATGTAGTCATTAAAAAGGTAGGCGCATCCTGCTGCTATATCATAGGTACGTGTGAAAACATTTTTAATGCACAAAAATGACATTGGAATGAGCAGCGAATGAGATAGTATCAGGTAAGGACAAATATCGTTGTTGGATGATGTGGGTACAGAAATCATGTGGCCCGTATGGGTTTCCACGGTAGCTTACTCTGAAATGACGGTGATGAATGTTCTTTTACCACTGGCACTTGGCCTTACCTCCCGTTGTCACACACTCACACACGAAGATAGAAAGCGGTTACCAGTGACAAATGTTTGTGATAGCAAGCAACAGTATGAGGCAGTATCAAAGTACAAGATGAGTGAAGGAAGGGTGGACTAAATGTTCCACTTGATCATAAGATCTCTTGCAACACTTTTGCTTGTTTCCCGTTCGTGTTTACAGTGCTCAACCAGTATATGCCTGGAAAGGAAGGGGGAAATAGGGACCGTTTGTAGTGCAGACAACATCCCTGACCAGGGCGCTCCAAGTGTCGTTACAATTCAGTGAGATAGACTATTTAATCAGGTTCAATAATGTTCATTTGACAGCTCTCAGTTGCCCTTCTGTGTGTCGGTAGTTGACCGGCTCTTTACAAGGATTTTTGGGGATCGAGTTTTATCTGAGTGGATCTCCAACACTCAGCAATTATTTCGAGGAGTAAGCAGGCAGTTAAGCAAGTCAGTAGTTGATGACGCAAGCAACTTGGCCTAGGATTTCATCTGGGGAGGGGAAAGTCAATTTGCGGTTGATCTTTAGTTATTTAATTACCTGACAAGAAGGCAAATTCGGCTTACCTTGATGGAATGATAGTGAGACTTGTTGTCACGTGATAAGTACACAGGTAATTGGGTATGTTTACGGAAGCCGTAATGTGCTTCACAGGGCTACTGCAATATGGACCAAAGCTCACCACGGATCATGTTGACCAGATTTGACCCAGAGTTTATTCGATGTACTAACTTGTCACTTTCTGCAAGTAGATGTTAATTCCTGGTTAACATAAAGTTATCTTTAAAAAGGCAACGGAATGTTCAAACGGGAAACGGTTTCTACATGGGAGCAAGAATCGTTCGGTAAAATGATAGTAATTTGTGACACGGGAAACTTACCATATGAGAAAATTAACTCTGCATCTTTTTTCATCCACCCTGAGCCAAAATCCACAATCCTGTAGCCTCATCGCACAAAGCCGTCCGATCAAAATTAGCGGAATAGTTTGGGGTCTGAGAAGGTTGAAAAATGCTATTTCCCACATAAGTTGATATTAGAAATGAGACGTGGTCATCGTGACCAATGAACCGTGGGTCACGATCAAAGAATTGTCAGATTTGCCCTGAAGTTTGGTGGGAAATGGTGTAGCAGGTAGACGTTGCGTTAGATTGTATTTATCGGATCCACAATACTATTCATCTGTATACAGATTGAATTCTTTTGCTGTATACAACCCGATGATGACAGCGAAGGCAGTACACCAGATGGTATCCTGTTTGAGTAAACGTATCCATTACAGGGAGGACTGTTTCCTAGAAAACTGTCATTAACAAATAAGCGAATGTTTTTACGGTCGTTTGATTAGTTCCATCCACCTTCGATTATACCGCGAATTCGGTTGGATTTCCTTGCTGATTGTACGCGCTCGATCTCGGCAACCTATCCTATCCTATTCCGTCGTGGTGCCAATGTATTCACGTTTGTGCGTCACGAGTAAAAGCTATTCCACTTTAAATGAGACTTGCGGTTTATTCACACTTTCTGAGGGTTCAGTCTCTGAAATGGAGAATACGCTGACACTTACAAAAGACTCTAAGGGGGCGGGGGATGAGCCATTGAATCGGGCGATAGACATTTCGTGTTGTGTCGAATTTCGC